TGAGCAGTTCCAAGGTGCATTTTTAGGTCAGTTGTGGAATGACAGTATACAAGGAGATGAGTCCAGACCAGAGGAGACTAGGTGACTATGTATAAAGGGCAACTCATCTTAAATGACAGAAAGCCATCATCTCCGCCTCAACAGTTGGACCTGACAAAAAAAGAAGAAAAAAATCATATAACCTGAACACGTAGTAATAACATAAATACATTACATAACATTGTAGGTGGATTCAATTGTGTACAATTTCAAAATTAAAGAAGGAAGTGTTTAAAGGTAGAGTCGATGAACGGGAGTCAGAGGCAGTGCATTCAGAATGGATTTCCACACTTTATTATTATTAATCCAGACAACGTGAGTGAGCTGCTCTGTGTAACCAGCTAGCATGAATGAACTCTCACGCCGGTACCCTCACTAACGGGTCCGGGTTGCAACACACACTATAAGCCACAGTGAATTATGTCCCGTAACTGTCACCACACAAGCCCCCCCAGAATTCACTCGTACACAAAGTCTGTGCGGCGGGGAGGAACGACAAGCCGACCACCCCGACTCCGAAGAACGGGAGCCGGGGAGGCGACCTCTGAAGGGGCGGCCGCTGGAAGAGATGGGACCGGAGCCGCAGGCCCCAATTCTGTGACAGGCGTCGAGGCCGGGGGGCGTCCTCGTCGCGGAGGTCGAGCCAGAACCACCGGCTGGTCTAAGTCCAGGTGAGCAGCCTTCACCCGGTCCACCGAGACGTGCTCGGCTTTGCCACCCAGGTCGACCACCAGGTGCTTGTCCCCGTGCTCCAAAACACGGAAAGGTCCATCGTAAGGGGGTTGTAGGGGGCCTCTGTGCACGTCGTGCCGGATAAATACGTGCCCCGCCGAGCGGAGCTCCGCGGGAACCCGGCACACTTGAGTACCGTGCTGAGTAGTAGGGACCGGAGCAAAGACCCAGCGACGTCCTGCAGGAAAGCCCGCTGGGCTGTCGCCGATGCATTAGGGAGGAAATCCCCAGGAACCCTCAGCGGCTGACCGTATACCATATAAGCCAGAGGTTCTCAATTGTTTTTCAGCTAAGGACCCCTTACAAGATAGAGAATACACCAAGGACCCCCTCATTCTGATTTGTGATTTTGGGCTATATAAATAAAAATGTACTTGATTTGACTTGTATGTCCCTTGGAATAATCTGACGTAGCCTATTTTTTACACTTCTATAGTCTTAGTTATGTGAAAGAACAACACAAGAGAAATGTATTAGAAAGATATTGGATATGTATTAAAAATATTTGCACCATCTCAACACAGAATACCCATAAAACAATCAATCAATTAGCTGCAAGTAACCTAAAGAAATATCAAAGGGAATCAAGAGAAAAGTGATCATTTGAAGTGCATTTCAGAACACACACACACACACACACACACACACACACACACACACACACACACACAACACACACACCACACACACACACACACACACAACACACACACACACACACACACACACACACACACACACACACACCACACACACCACACACACACACACACACACACACACACACCACACACACACACACCACACACACACACACACACACACACACACACACACACACACACACACACACACACACACACACACACCCACACACACACACACACACACACACACACACACACACACACATACACATACACAGGGGTTAAAGTGGGCCGGAACGATCCAGAACAGCGTTCCGGCACCTTCGATTAATAAGTAAATAAATCTGATTGGCAGTTTCATACATAATAATGTCAAGCGAGTTCACAGGGCTGCCGACTCTCACACAATTGACATTTTTCACACGCTCTCAGCCACAAGTCCGTTTTCTCAAGCAGTGAAAAACAAATTCATAACTGATAATGTCATGGTGCGAAAAGAAGACACTTCTGCACATTGCGCAACAGCAGCACCATGACCATCTGAATAGCGAGAAATATACACAAATGTATTATATTGTAACTTATTCCCATGCATGTTGCACAAAGTAATCAGTCTCACTTCTGCGTCTCTCCCTCTCCTCTCGCGCCATGCGCACCAGGCAGGAGTGAGAGTGAGTTACCATGGTTACGGTGACGTTCTGTGTCTCTGTCGCTCTGAAACTTCTCGCGATTCCCAATAATACGTTTTTAGTAATATAACATAATTTTACAGTTTTGGTTAACATTAACAGGGTTAATGTTTCTTGATTAAATCCAAAGAGGGCAAGGTGGTGTAGACATGTAGGAAATGTGTTTTAAATTGTTGTTCAGGAGTTGATCTGTCTCTGCCCCTGCCCCCGCCTCGACGTAAGCGTGACGTATGTGGTGCTTTTGCTCTGGCCGGACAATTTTTTGGTGCTTGAAACGAACCGGATTCCGGAGCTAAGAGGCTGCTCCGCTGCGGTGTGAACAGGAAAACCCGGTGCTTTTCAAGCTCCAGCTCCGAACCGGCCCTGAAACACCGTTGGTGTGCTTGCAGCGGCGCTCTTTGACTGACGTAACAGTTATTGTTGTTTCCACGGTAACGCGCTTGATTTTTAAATGTATCTATTTGTTAGATTTGAACGTAATCTATGAAATATTTTAGATTAAAAAAAAAAAAGATTATTTGTTGAAAAAAAAAAAAAAATGAAAAAAAAATGATATCATGATAATTTAAATTAATGAATCTGAAAACTTTTCACGGACCCCCTGGCAGAGTGCCACGGACCCCACTTTGAGAACCACTGATCTAAGCCATAGAGCACTGCAGGTCCTCTTTAGGCGCCGTCCTCAGGCCCAACATCACCCAGGGCAGCTTCTCGACCCAATTCCCGTCCGTGAGGCCGTCCGTGAGGCCGGCCTTGAGGGCCGTCTTCATGGAGCGATGGAACCGCTCACAGAGGCCGTTAGCCTGAGGGTGATAAGCGGTAGTCCTGTGCAGCTTAACCCCCATACCACTCGACTAGGCGTTCCAGAGCTCGGACGTGAACTGAGAGCCCCTGTCCGAGGAAATGTCTGACGGGGTGCCAAAAGGACACACCCACGTCGCAATGAAAGCCCTGGCAATGTCTGCGGCTGATGTCGACATGAGAGGAACCACCTCCGGCCAACGGGTCGTCCTGTTCACCATGGTGAGGAGGTAGGAAAAGCACTGAGAGGAGGGCAATGGACCAACCAGGTCGATGTTGACGTGGTCAAACCACCTCTCAGGCACCAGGAAACGCTCCAAAGGGGCCTTCGTGTGGCGGTGCACCTTAGCGCGCTGACAAGTCACGCACTCACCAGCCCAAGTCCTCACGTCCTTTTTCAGCCCTTGCCAGACGAACTTCACGGCCGCGACAGGCCCGTGGAAACGTCACACAGGAGGGTAACGCCCGCGTCGCCGAACACCACGTCCTCCAAGCGCAGCCCCGCGCCCTCCACCTTCAGAGCCTGGACGCCAGGGTCTGTGACCTGGTCCGCCGCCATGCGAGTATAGTCCAGGCCCAACTGGACGGCTCCGATGACGACTAAAAGAGCCTTCTTTCCACCTTTCTTAAGCTCCTTTTGTTCTTTGGTTTTAGCGCCTGGCCGACGCGCTCACACATCACTCAGTCACCTTTCTTTTGGTATATTTATTTCCAAGTTATCCTTCTCTGCAGTGCAATGCAGCGGTCAAAAAACCGTGTGGCTTCACAACCAAACTAGAACCCAGAGTATCATCAGCAGGACTCTTTTAACCAGCTGAGGCAATCACAGCACCAATCAGCCGCTCCGCCCAGCCGTGGCTGCGGATCATGATCACTTAACACCAATCAATTATACTCCATTACATACATTAAATGATTAAATAATACAAATAATAAATCAACGTTTTGGCTCCTACACTCCGGCCCCTAATTGTTATGGAATCACACATGACAATTACTAATAAACATAAAATGGAGAGCCAATACAAAACATTTGTTCAGGGCTTCTGACCCTTTGTAGGGCGAATGTGTATTAACACATGAGTCCGTGTGTGTAAATGTGCTTGTGTGGGTGCAAGAGGGGAAGGGGGCTAGAGCTCATTTTGGGACTCGACCAGCAGTAACAGCTTTGTGATGGGTCGACGGAGTGTGCTGGTTTTTGTCTGTACTTCCACTTGTCGTACAAAACCTCTCGAGTCTGGCAAGACTTGCGTTATTCGTCCCATGAGCCAGGAATTTCTTGGAGCATTTTCGTCGACGATAAGGACAATGTCCCCTGTTGCGAAATTCCTCCTTTTCCTGTTCCACTTTTGCCTTATTTGGAGTTCCGGTAGGTATTCCTTGGTCCATCGCTTCCAAAATAAGTTGGCCATGTACTGAATTTGGCGCCATCTTCTCTTCCCGTGGCAGTCGCTCGGATTGAAGACACCAGGCGGAAGAAATGGTTTTGATTTGAGCAGCAAAAGGTGATTTGGAGTGAGGGGCTCTAAATCTCCAGGGTCGTTGGAAACAGTCGTTATGGGTCGATCATTTATGATCGCCTCCACTTCGCAGAAAAGTGTGGCAAGTCCTTCCTCGTCAAGCTTCTGTTCTTGCGTGAGGGCACTGAGAATGCGTCTGACGGTTCTGATTTGTCTTTCCCAGATTCCTCCGTGGTGGGAGCCTGCTGGTGGGTTAAATATCCACTTTACTTCCTCTTTAAGAAGCTTGTTCTGGATTTGTGTGTGGTTTAACTCTTGTATTGCTTCTTTTAGTTCACGTTCAGCTCTAACCAAATTGGTTCCGTTGTCTGACCTCATGACCTTGACAGGGCCTCTTCTTGCAATAAATCTCCTGATGGCATTAATGCAAGAGTCAGTGTTGAGACTGTGTGCAAGTTCAAGGTGAACTGCTCTGATGTTTAGACAGGTAAAAATTACACCGTATCTTTTAACTGTGGCTCTTCTCTGTTTCAACTCAAATGGGCCAAAGAAATCCACGCCCACGTTTGTGAAGGGCGGATCATCAGGGGTAACTCTTTCTTCCGGCAAGTCTGCCATGAATTGCTGACCTTTTACACCACTGAGTTTCCTGCAGGTTACACATTTAGAGAGGATTTTTCGGATTGCAGAATTTCCTCCAGGAATCCAATATTTCTGCCTTAAACCTGACAGAGTATGACTCCTTCCACTGTGCCCTATGTTCTCATGGACATGTCTGATGAGGAGTTGAGTCACATGATTGTTTGCAGGTAAGATAATTGGGCTTTTGGCTTCGGCTGGCATTGCGGATTTCGATAACCTTCCGCCAACTTTTACCAAGTTGTTCTGCAGAATGGGTGCCAGTTTGTGAAGATGACTGCTCCTTTTGACTGCAAGTCCTTTCTTTAGCGCAGTTATCTCATCCTTAAATGAAGCGGACTGACAAAACTGAATTATGGCAGCTTCCGCTTCCTCCAAGTTTTCAACAGTGAGAGGTCCTTTTTCATGTTTTGCTCTCTTTTCCTTCAAATCCATTTTTGCCCTCGCCATCAGAGCGGATTTTATGCGTAGCATCCAGACCACAGCTTTTTTCAGGCGATGCCAGTGGGAATAGTAAGTGAGCAACTTGTTCACTGTACTAGAGCTTTCTTCCATGGGGTTGAGACTTACGGCAAAAACTTTGACTTCAGGGTCGCTGGCTGTTAGTCAAATCTGGAGATTTAGGCCACTGATGCTCAGGGAGACTAAGGAACTCTGGTCCCCTTAACCAGGTTTCATCTCTCAGAAAGCGACTTACAGAGATTCCCCTTGATACACAGTCAGCTGGATTCAGGCAACCATTAACATACCTCCATTGGGAAGTCTCTGAAGCAGATCGAATGACTGCGACTCTGTTGGCGACGAAGGTGTGGAATCTTGTAGTTTCATTTTGTATGTACTTCAACACAGACGTGCTGTCAGTCCAAAACACGGATGGCTGGAGTTTAAGCTCCAACTCTTCCTGTAACATTCGGTCCATCCGGACGGCTACAGTGGCAGCGGTAAGCTCCATTCTTGGGATGGTCACAGGTTTGAGTGGAACTACTCTGGCCTTACCCATGATAAAGGAACAATGAACTGCGTTTGCTTTGTTCATCAGGCGAAGGTAAGATACTGTTCCGTAACCACTTTCACTAGCATCTCCAAAGTGGTGAAGCTGAGCTGAGACTGGATCTCCAAAGTTGAGTGGTGTGATGCATCTTTTGACTTTGAAGTCTCTCAGTAATTGCAAGTGGTGTAGCCAGCTCAACCACTGTTCCTTACATTCTTCAGGAATATTTTCGTCCCATCCTAGTCTTATTCCTGTTAATGTTTGCAAGATTTGCTTTGCAGGGAGGATCACAGGGGACAACATACCCAGCGGATCAAATATAGAGCTCACTACTGACAGAATACCTCTCCTGGTAAGTGGTTTAACCTGAGGAGTACATTTGAAATGGAATGAGTCCGTTTCCGTGCACCACTGAACTCCGAGAGCTCTTTCAACAGGTAGGGTACTTTTATCCAGATCCAGATCCTTGATTTCCTTTGATCTACTTTCCTCTGGTATTGTTTGTAGTAGAGCTCTGCTGTTGATTACCCATTTGTTTAACTTGAAACCACCCTTACTGCACAGGGTTTTAAGTTCGTGAGCGATTATCACTGCCTTCCTCTCGTCTTCCATTGATTTTAGGCAATGGTCCACATAAAAATTTCTTAGCATCGAAGAGACAGCCTCTGGGCTAAAGTCATCCACATTGTCTCTTGCACACTGTTGTAGGGCAAAGTTGGCACAACTAGGCGAGGATGTTGCTCCAAAGATGTGTACAACCATTTGGTACTCTTCTAGCTCACTACTGAGATCTCCATCGGGCCACCACAAGAATGTGAGAAGATCTGAGTCTTCCTCTGGCACCTTGACCTGATGGAACATGGCTTCAATATCTGCCATGAATGCAATGTTCTTCTGCCGGAATCTTGTAAGGACACCAATAAGACTGTTGGTTAAATCTGGGCCTTGGAGAAGACGAGCATTCAGAGATGTGCCCTGGTAAGTTGCACCGCAATCAAAAACCACCCTCAGTTTACGCTTTTTTGGATGGTACACGCCGTGGTGTGGAATATACCAGCTCCTTTTGCTTTGATTTGCCTTGTCTTTTTGTTCAGGTGTCATTCTGATGGCAAAACCTTTATCAACAACATCCGCCATGAACTCTTTGTACTCCTTGTAGAATTTGTTGTTTTGTTGGAATTTTCTTTTTAGGTTCAAAGCTCTTTGTTCAGCAACACGTCTATTATTGGGAAAATCAAGTCCTTTTTCCTTTAATGGCAGTCCAATACTGTAGTGTCCGTCTACTAACTTGACAGAATTAGAGACACTTTCCATGAACTTGTGATCCTCTCTTGACATTTCCAGACGCTCCTTGTGTTGATGTTCTGGAAAGTCCAGCTTCACTTGCTGCTTCAACAATTCCTCGATTTCCACAACAGAAATTCTGTTTGCTGTAACGACTGGCTTAATCCAACGAGTCGTATCTGACCTTCCTAGAGGTCCATTTATTGTCCAACCTAAAATGGTCTTAACAGCGTACGGGCCATTCCCTTGGCTGTTTATGACTTTGCATGGCTCTAGAGCTTTTGGCACGTTGCACCCAATTAGCAAGCCAACCTCTGCATCAATTTGTGGTATATTGACCTCTTTCAGGTATTCCCATTGTCCCACATCCTCCTGAGAGGGAATATTTGCCTTTCGTACTGGTATTTTCTTTTGTGAATAAACAGGTGGAAGTGCTACATACTGGTTACTTTCTAGACCACATATTTCAAGGTCACATGCAACAGATGTTTTAACTGACTCCTCTTTATTCATTGTTCGTAAGAGTATCTTCGTGTTGCGTCCAGTCACTTGAAGCTGCTGTAGAATGGACTCTGTGCAAAAGGTAGCCGTACTACCTGGGTCCAGAAAGGCGTATGTTGTTATGATGGTATTACCCTGTTTTGTTTTCACCTTCACAGGAACAATAGCCAGGGTGCCTTCAGGCTCACCGGCCCCAATATCCTCCTCCCGTGAATCATCTTTATCCATATCCACTAAAGCATTTGCAACAGTCTTTACCTTTCCTTTGCTCGACTCGATATTACTGAAATGCAACAGAGTGGGGTGTGTGAGATTGCACTCTTTGCAGGTATGTCTTTGTTTGCATCCTTTACTCATGTGGCCCTTTTCTAAACATCCAAAGCAAAGTCCTTTGCTTCTGAGGAATTCCAACTTCTCTTTGTGGGTGTTTTTGAGAATCTGATTGCAAGCAGAAAGATGGTGTTCTCCTTTACAGTAGATGCATCGGTTTGATTGGGATGTGTCACTGTGTCGGTTACAGTTTTCTTTCTGAGGTAATGGGGATACACTAGTGGCAAAACCACTTTTATATAACTCTGGAGATCTCGGTTTGAACCTTGCGCTGGGAGTAGCAGGAACGAATGTGTAGCTTGTCTTTGCTGATGTATTTGGAATTTCCTTTAAGTTTCCGAACACTGGATGAGAAAGGATTCTAGCATGATGGTCGACAAACTTCACTAGATCTTCAAACTTAACTCTTCTGTTGTTTCCATCTTGTATGTTACAAGCTTTAGCTCTCCAGTTTTCTCTAAGCTTATATGGGAGTTTAGAAAGAACAGCTCGCATGTTGATTGGGTGATCCATTTCCTCCATGTATTCCACACTATCCATTGTATTGAGACATCCATTCAGAAACACAGCAAAGGTTTTTAAAGCTTGTGGATCCTCAGGTTTAATAGATGGCCAATTGAGAGCCTTGTCGATGTAGGCTGTCGCGATAAGATATTCATCTCCATAATGATGCTTCAACAACCTTTTTGCTTCCGTGTATCCTTTGTCAGATTGCATATATTGGCAACTGCGCACAAGCTCTCTTGGTTGGCCAATAGTGCATTGCTCCAAGAAGTAAAGCCTGTCCTTACTGATTTCTGTTTTCTCTTCAATACCATGCTCAAATGCTCTTATGAAGGACCGATAGTCCAAAGGGTTTCCGTTGAAGGTAGGAATGCTGAGCGGGGGTAATGAAGAAAGTTTCTGCTGCTTTACCATTGTTTCTGTTATTATGGTCTGTTTTTCCATGATGCTTATTAAGTTATTCATATTGCCCTCTCCCTTGCTAGAAGACGTGCTGGATGAAGTTGAACTTTCAGGACGTTGTGGTATGAATTGTGTTTCACTATTAATGGCATTTGCAGTTTTATTGATGTTTGGTGTATGCTTGTTAGCATTCAAATGAGCATTTTCTTGCTCTAATGCTGTACTCACAAACAGTGAGTGATCCAAATATTCATTCATTCTGTCTCCTGCTTGGTACGTGCCTGCATGACAATCCTCCATTCTTTTGATTACCTTTAATTTTGCAGTGTTTGCTGCAATATCTTTTTCAAGTTCCAGCTGTTCCTTTCTTTCCTTCAAACCGGCTTCCTCCCTTTCCAGTGCTTGCTTCTGAGTCAGCCTAGCAGCTCGTGCTAACAATTCTGCATTTCTATTTTCCAACTTTATTTTAGCAGATGTGATAGAAGACCGAGAGGATCTCCTTGAACTTTGTGAATGAACACTCTTTACGTTTGAAATACTGTCCCGAGGTGCAACACTCGTATGTCCTTTTATTTTTGTCTGGACAACATTGGACACAGGAGCATCAGCGATCCAGTTTAAGACCTCCTGATTAAACTCTTCCAAGGCAGCTGCTTTGGGGTTATACCATTCATCCTGATCCATTTCTTTCTCCTCCTCAGTGGACATTAAAGTTTGAACAGAATCATTTAACTGTTCCATTTCTTTGTGTAAACTCACTTTCCCTTTTCGACTTAACCAGTTCCACATTGCAGACATTTTCCATTAATTGTCTGATTTCATTTATTTTCCTTGTCAATGCACCCAATTTTGCACTCCTTGATGATTTCAGTCGTTTGAGCCTTTCCATATACACACAGTCAATGTCACTTTCCAAGCTTTCCAAGTCTGCCATTTTTGTTCAAGACAACACGTTTATTCCTTTTGAATTTTACTTCATTGTTTGTGGACTTTCATTGTCTTGCCTTGAGTTGAGACGTTTCCAACAGTCTTTGAACGCTCCACAGCAGTGACGCGTTACATATGTAGTTGGGGGAGGAGTGATTGTTGCCTTCAGTCATTCACGTTTCATAACACCGTCGTTCTAGGAAGTAGAATCCGTAGTAAAACGAAGGCGAGTATTTGACACGCTGTTATGAGTTCTTGTTTTCAAAACATACGTTTCCACGGACCAGCGCTCATCAAGCTGGGTTTTTTGACGAATAAAAGAGCCTTCTTTCCACCTTTCTTAAGCTCCTTTTGTTCTTTGGTTTTAGCGCCTGGCCGACGCGCTCACACATCACTCAGAGTCACCTTTCTTTTGGTATATTTATTTCCAAGTTATCCTTCTCTGCAGTGCAATGCAGCGGTCAAAAAACCGTGTGGCTTCACAACCAAACTAGAACCCAGAGTATCATCAGCAGGACTCTTTTAACCAGCTGAGGCAATCACAGCTCACCAATCAGCCGCTCCGCCCAGCCGTGGCTGCGGATCATGATCACTTGACACCAATCAATTATACTCCATTACATACATTAAATGATTAAATAATACAAATAATAAATCAACGTTTTGGCTCCTACAACGACTCTGGAGAGGAAATCTGCCACCAGGTTCGACTTGTCTGTGGTGAACTCCGAGATGTAGGAAAGCTGCCGCTGCTGGCGTGCCGACCAAGGCTCCGCCACTTTAGACATGGCGAACGTGAGCGGCTTGTGGTCGACAAACGCCGTAAACACACACACTTCCAGCAAAAAACGGAAGTGCCGCACAGCCAAATAAAGTCCAAGGAGCTCTCGGTCAAAAGCGCTGTACTTGCGTTCTCTGGGTGTTAGCTGGTAGCTGAAAAAGGCGAGTGGCTGCCAAGCGCCCTCCACCCACTGTTCGTGCACTGCACCAACGGCATAGTCCGATGCGTCTGTGGTAATGGAGATGGGAGCCGTGGATGATGGGTGTGCCAACAGGGCCGCCTGAGCAAACGCAGTCTTGACCTCCGTGAAAGCAGACTCAGCTTCTGCTGTCCAGTCGATCGCCTGGATGGGGGTCGTAGCCTTCAAAGCCTCATACAGCGGCCGCATAATGTAAGCGGCCCGGGCGATGAAACGGTGGTAGAAAGTCACCATCCCCAGAAACTCACGGAGCGACCGGGCTGTGAGCGGGCGAAGAAAAGCCGCAACAGCCTCCACCTTCGCCGGCAGGGGTGCTGCACCGCCCTTGGTGACGCGGTGTCCGAGGAAGTCAATATCAAACACCCCGAATTGGCACTTTGCAGGATTGATGATCAACCCGTGTTGGCTGAGCCTCGTGTAAAGGGCTCGGAGGTGTGACAGGTGCTCTTCCACTGAAGCGCTGGCGACGCGTATGTCCAGCTAGACGAACACGAACGGCAGGTCCCGCAGCACCGAATCCATCAGGCAGGTGCTGGAACATTTGGGCGGCGTTCTTGAGCCCAAAAGGCATCCGCAGGAACTCGAAGAGTCCAAACTGCGTTATCACTGCTGTCTTACGGACGTCCAGGTGATGCATGGGCACCTGGTGGTAACCACGCACCAGGTCCACTTTCGAAAACACCGACGTACCGGCCAGATGTGCCGAAAAGTCTTGAATGTGCGGTCAGGTGTCGTGGCGTTGTGGCGTCGTTGAGGCGGTGGTAATCCCCACACGGGCGCCAACCGCCGTTCGGCTTGGGAACAACGTGTAGAGGCGAGGCCCAAGGACTGTCAGAACGACGGACGATACCCAGGCGTTCCATGGTTGAAAACTCCGCCCTGGCGTAGACTGGGGGACCTTCGGTGGTGACGTGGTGCTCCACCCCATGCTTGGTGGTGAGCGCGGAGAAGGTGGGCAGCGTCAGGTCCGGAAAGTCAGCCAACAGCCTGAGAAAAATGTCCGCTCCCGACAGCGAGCCCGACAGCTCGTCGTAAACTGCCTTTCCAAGTGTACAAACGAGGGGGGAAAACGTCAAGGCATCAACCAAGCGTTTATTTTTTAACGTCCACAAGGAGTCCGTGAGCACATAAGAAATCCGCCCGAGGAGGGGAAAAGAAATGTCTACCGTCACAAAATCCCAGTTGAAACGTTGTCCTCCAATGCACAAACACATAGGCCTCACGCCGTATGTGCGAATGGGGCCGCCATTAGAACTACACTCCGTTGATCTCCCGTGTCACAAAAAAACAAACTTCCCGAGACTCTGTCGCTGACGAAGAGAAGCCTGCTCGTCCCGCCAACGCTCAGGGCCACTACCGAGCGCTGGCTCCTCCGTTTCCCGGAGGCTTGTAGCTGCAGGGTGCGACACACTTCTTTGCGCTGGTCCCGAACCGCGCGTGGTAAAAACACTCTCCTGTCTCCACGTCGGCTTGCTGCTGTCGTGTCCAGTCTACCCCAAGCCTTCTTGACTGTTGTGGGGGCGCTGAGCATCACAGCTAACGCCTCTGCACCGGGCAAGAAAAAAAGGTCGCCGTCTTCAGCCAATGCACGGGGCTCCGTAATGGGCGTGTTGGCTAGCGCCGTCTGGACACGGGAAGGCAAGTGGCGTAGGAATGTCTCCATGAATAAAATCCGGAGATCTTCCCCTCCTAGCAGATTTAGCATCTTCTCCATGAGCTGAGATGGCTTGCTATCCTCTAGGCCTTGAATTTCAAGAATCTGGCGGGCCCTCTCCTTAGCAGATAAACTAAATGTCTTAAGGAGAAGGGCCTTAATCGCCTCATATTTGCCATGGTGTGGGGAGTCACCGATAAATCCCACCAACCTGGATGACGTGGAGCTTCCCAGCGCTGCTACTACATGGTAGTATTTCAAATCCCCATCACGGACTTGTCGGCAGGCGAAGTGCGCCTCCACGTGTGCAAACCACGCCGCAGCGGCATGCTCCCAAAACTCCGGCAGCTTTTCAAAAACATCGCTACTAGCCATGTTCATTGAGTTTTCTGAAACTTTCTCGAAAACGTTGGGGTCACCAGTGTAGAGCCGATGAACGGGAGTCAGAGGCAGTGCATTCAGAATGGATTTCCACACTTTATTATTATTAATCCAGACAACGTGAGTACATGAGCTGCTCTGTGTAACCAGCTAGCATGAATGAACTCTCACCCCGGTACTCTCACTAACGGGTCCGGGTTGCAACACACACTATAAGCCACAGTGAATTATGTCCCGTAACTGTCACCACACGCCACTAATTATTTTAACGCGATTAACGCATGTGTATTTTTTTTATCGAGTTTAAAATGCCATCTACTGTATAAGCTAATGCTGACAGCTCCGCTCCTGCCATCCGCTTGCGGCAGACCACACTTCCACGCTCACCGGCAGGCACCGACTGGCCATCGGGAGGACCGGGAGGGTGTGTGTATGGGTGGCGCGAGTGAGAGAGAGAGAACATGCACACCTTACGTGTATTGTTGTTGTTAGCATCTGGTGCTAGTTAGCTGCGCTAATGGATATAAGGAGCTGTTTCAATGAAAACAGAGGAGCGACATTTCGCCGACAACTGCGCCGAGCACTTGACTTTATGCAGGTAGCCAGACAGTGGGACATTGTTCGAAAAGTCAGCACACTCAGCACGGAGAGTGTGCGCAACATGATTGCAGCGGCCAGGCAGCTCCCGTTCGAGCGTATGCCTTGAGTTGCACATAGCTCCAACGATCCATCACAGTGTCTCCACACACACCGGGCCCGGCGCCACAAGGCCCTCACTTTGAGCATCATTCATCCATCAAAAAGTACAATAAATGTCACAATTATTAAATAACTTTAAATAATTACTTTCCCCAATACACGTTACTATGTTTAGATCAGATATGTGGGCAGGCAGTCAAGCAACGTGTAAAAAAGCCTCAACCCCAAGTGAGCTTGTAGTCTTAATGTTAGCGTGTGTGCTTAGCTGTAAACACAGTCGGATGAGTGACCAAAACGTCCCCGTTTTCCGGGCAGAGTCCCCGTTTTCGGTGGCTGGTACCCGGTTGAAACTCCCGAAAATGTTCCCGTTTTTTAACGTGCGTTAAAAAAAATAGAGCAAGGTGAAATCAAATGTTATGTGTCAGTAAAAACAGAGTAACAGTGTTGTGCCTGCTTGTAGCGTTAGCGTATTTCTACTACTTCTTCTTCTTTTTTCTTTAATGGCGAATCGCTTCCACTTGGAGCATATATCGCCACCTATTGTTGATTTATTACATTTTTATATTAAATTTATATTAAACTGGTCCTCAGACCAGTGTGTTTGAGGAACTTCAAGATCAGCTTGTTTACTTCATTTCTTGATTTACTTTCGTATATTGACTTGAAATCCATGTCCTTGATGTTATGTTGTTCCAGTTCAGTTTTCAGAATGAGTCTGTGTCTGTTATAATCCGGGCAGCTAAAAAATACATGATGTAATTTTTCTCCCAAATTTTCGGCGCCCCTGATGGGTTGATGCTCCCTTAGCATTTGCCTATACTGCCTATGCCAAGGGCTGGCCCTGGTGAAAACAATATGACCTCAACCAAAAATAAGATAGACAACTACAGATAGCACCACACATGATGGTTAACCTACTTGTTATTATTTAGGGCTGCCTGTATGGATCAGTTTTTTGCCAAAGCGAGCCCTTTTACTAGAATAATAATATGCATAGTATTATATCAACCGTATTGGTACAATGAGCGACATCTAGTGACGGATTTTGGAAAATTGTTTTTTTTTTTCTCATGGCAGTTAGACTCTAGAGACAAACCAGGGGACTTTATTTGTATTTTTAATCTGTGTCTGTCCATTTGGTGTAGTATTTTATCCAATATTACATTTGGTTTATATATTAGTCACTTTCTTATGAAATGCCAGGTTTTAGGCCTTGATTTGAACATTCAATCCTGAAAATAAAAAATCAACCAGAGTAATGTTTCTTTAATCCTGACTGGAGGTAAGTACATCTGTATAGGAAGGCGAGTTAAGGGATAGAGGAGAAAAGGTTATGGTATAATTACAGAGCCTGTCAATTTATAAATTGAGGAAATCAATGTTAGTCTGTTAACCAAAGTGCAGACATCTATCTATCAACTATCTATTATTAAAGATCAGAGGAAAAGAACATAACGAGAAGGGTAAATCCGGAATAAAAATAAAGAAGTAAAGAGATTGTAGAGCAATGAGAAGGAAAAAAGCTCGGTGTGTCAATTAATTACATTGCCAGTATTATTCGTTGTTGTGGAAAAAAAAATTTGAGGGGGCTTTTTAACAGCCCCCTCAGTAATTCCATCCTGGAGCCGGGCCTGACACACACACACACACACACACACACACACACACACACACACACACACACACACACACACACACACACTTTGTATTGTATTATTGTATTGTATGAGAGGTTCCAGGTTGAATTGAGGCGGATATTTGTAATGTTCAGAGGTTGTTATGTTTAATATTCATGAGCATATTTGTCATTGATCAAATGATAATAAACAAACATTTGCATAGAGAATATTTGTCCACTCATATGTTAAGAGTATTAAAAACTTGAAAAATATCCCTATAAGGAACATTTAAAACAGATAAAAAATGTGCGATTAATTTGCGATTAAATATTTTAATCGACTGACACATCAATGAGCTATGCTGTTGTACTGTCTGACATCTTCTTCATTAGAATAAACATGTAAATCATAGTTTATTTTTGATACAATGCCATATACTACCTCCTGCTGCCATAAAACGTACTGAAAAACACAAGATCTACAATTGAAAATATTCCCCAACAAACACATTGTTCGGTCCTACTTGAGTAGTTTGCTGAAGACTATTGTGGACCGGTTGCTCAAGGAGAGTTTTTTCTTTAAAAAACAGAAAAGCAATTATTTCTGACTCATTTTAGGATTATTGTCTTCTGTATGAACAGATCGGATTGAGGCTGAAAAACAAAAATAAAAATATGGTTTAACCCTGGCCTTATCCTTTAATTGAAAAATGTAATTATTATGCTTTAAATTGATAAATAACAAATAAAACGAGTGACTGATATGCACGTAAACTGCTACAACATAATTGTGTTTCTACAATAATATGCTAAAACTATTAGTAATTTGAAAAAAAA